TATGAAGATGAAGTCAGAGGAAGTTGGGTCAGTTACAAGGTTGAAGCACCACAACATGGAGAATATGATAGAAAAAGAGTTGAAGTCGTTCTGACATCGGGAAGGGTAGATGTGCCTGTTGACAACTTTTTTGTCAAAGTGGTAACTTTGGATTTAAGGTGTTTAGAGGGGTCTGAGCAAAAAGTGGTTGGGAGAAAAGTTGTAGAGCGTTGTGGGTTTCTTAAGAAAAAAGTTGGTTTCAAGTTGATTGGATTAACGGAAAAAAAGATATGGAGTAAAAAGTGCATTTTTGAGAATGTTGCATAAAAGTGACCTTAACCATATTTAGTTTTGAAGTTAGAAAAAAAGTGATAAGAGATGAAAGATAGATCTTTAAATTCTGCATCGAATAAGCTTTGTTTTATGTTAATTTGACTTTTTTGCAACGAGTTATGAATTTTTTAAAAAATTAAAATTTTGGGAAAAATTTTTTAAATTTGACGATCTAGACCGTCCGATCTGGAAAGTTAAGCAACGGTGAGGCGTTTTTTGTAACTTTTGAAGTAGTTATCGGAAAAATATGATTGAAGTGTCATTTGACGTGCAAAAATCAGGCGAATTTTTTGAAAATATTTTTGAAGGGGTCACTTGAGTCTGAGGGTAGAATATTTGAGTCTGAAGGTTAAAATCAGTTGAAAGTAATTTTAAAAATTATAAAAATTAATGGGAATATTAGAAAATAAATTTTTAATGAAAAGGACACTTGAGTCTCATTTATTAATTTGAGTCTGGGACTGAAAATTTTTTATAAAATTCTAATTTTTACAACTTTTTAAACGTAATATTAAGATTCGTAACTCAGTGCGATAAACACGTTGCCGGAGGCAACCGCCGGAAATTTAAAATTATTTTTTTAAATCGAAACGCGTTGCAGATAACGCGTTGCCGGAGGGAACCGCAGAATTAAAAAATATTTTTAAAAATTCGGAACGCGTTGCATATAACGCGTTGCCTGAGGAACCCGCCAGAATTAAAAATTATTTTTAAAGGAAATTGAAACGCGTTGCAGAAAACGCGTTGCCGGAGGCAACCGCCAGAAATAAAAAATATTTTTTTTAATACGGAACGCGTTGCAAAAAACGCGTTGCCTTAGGCAACCGCGAGAATTTAAAATATTATTTTTAAATTCGGAACGCGTTGCAGAAAACGCGTTGCCAAAGGCAACCGCAAGAAATTAAAATTAGTTTTTTTTTAATTCGGAACGCGTTGCAAAAAACGCGTTGCCAAAGGCAACCGCAAGAAATAAAAAATATTTTTTTAATACGGAACGCGTTGCAAAAAACTCGTTGCCGGAGGCAACCGCCAGAAATAAAAAATATTTTTTTTAATACGGAACGCGTTGCAAAAAACGCGTTGCCTTAGGCAACCGCGAGAATTTAAAATATTATTTTTAAATTCGGAACGCGTTGCAGAAAACGCGTTGCCAAAGGCAACCGCAAGAAATAAAAAATATTTTTTTAATACGGAACGCGTTGCAAAAAACGCGTTGCCTTAGGCAACCGCTCAAAAATTATTTTATAAAAATTGGGAACGCGTTGCAATAAACTTCTATTTAATGTTAAAAATATACGGGGCCGAAGGCCCCGTATAATTATTTTAATAATTTTTAGCTAGCAAAAATAGATGAAAAAATTACAAAAATCACTAGCAAAAATTACATGCGGGCCGAAGGCCCGCATGTTTTTATGACTTAAATTCAAAAGTTTATAACTTTTGAAGTATTAGTCATTGAAAGATGCTTGAGGTGTCATTCGATGGGGAATTGAAAGAGGAATTGAATGAGAATATTTTCAAAGGTGTCGCTTGAGTCTAAGACTGGACATTTGAGTCTGAAGTTTTCAAATACTGGGAAATTAACCCAAATTGAATTATCTCGATTGTAATAACGCTGGAGTCAGCTTTAATACCCAAAAGCTATTAAAACTACTCAGCAATTCGCGCCGAACGCTGGTTATCTATATATAATAATAAAAAGGCACTCAGCTAAAAAAAAGTCCCCAGAGCTTTTGAGTGGGTGTAAAGGGGTGGGGTTTTTTGCTTTAGATGCGCAATACTATGTAGTTTTCAGGAAAACCTCCAAAAGTTGGGGGAAAGGGGCGAAAAAAAGAGTTATGTTGAAAAAACATGAAATTTCGAAACTTTGGAGAGAAATTTGAGTATGAAGACGAAGTCGGGGAAAGTTGAGTAAGTTACAAGGTTGAAGCACCACAACATGGAGAATATGATAGAAAAAGAGTTGAAGTCGTTCGGACAACGGGAAGGGTAGATGTGCCTGTTGACAACTTTTTTGTCAAAGTGGTAACTTTGAATTTAAGGTATTTAGAGGGGTCTGATCAAAAAGTGGTTGGGAGAAAAGTTGTAGAGCGTGGTGGGTTTCATAAGAAAAAAGTTTGTTTCAACTTGATTGGAATAACAGAAAAAAAGATATGGAGTAAAAATTAAAATTTTGAGGAAAATGTATAAAGTTGACCTTAACTATATTTTGTTTTCAAGATATGAAAAAAGTGTTGGGAGATGTAAGATAGAGCATTAAATTCTGCATCGAATAAGCTTTGTTTTATGATTTTTGAACTTTTTTGGGGCAAGTTATGAATTTTTTAATAAATTAAAATTTTGGGAAAAAAATTTTAAATTTGACGATCTAGACCGTCCGATCTGGAAAGTTAAGCAACGCTGAGCAGTTTTTTGTAACTTTTGAAGTAGTTAGCGGAAAAATATGAATGAGGTGTCATTCGACGCGGAAAAATCAGGCGAATTTTTTAAAAATATTTTCGAAGGGGTCACTTGAGTCTGACTGTGGTATATTTGAGTCTGAAGGATAAAATCAGTGGAAATTAATTTTAAAAATTCTAAAAATTAATGGGAATATTAAAAAATAACTTTCTAAGAAAAAGGACACTTGAGTCTCATTTTTAAATTTGAGTCTGAGACTGAAAATTGTTAAAAAATTTTATAAAGTGGAGAAATTAAATTATAAATTGCAGAAAACGCGTTGCCGGAGGCAACCGCCAGAATTAAAAATTATTTTTTGAAGAAATTTGAACACGCTGCAAAAACCCGTTGCCGGAGGCAACCGCCAGAATTAAAAATTATTTTTTGAAGAAATTTGAACGCGCTGCAAAAACGCGTTGCCGGAGGCAACCGCCAGAATTAAAAATTATTTTTTGAAGAAATTTGAACGCGCTGCAAAAACGCGTTGCCGGAGGCAACCGCCAGAAATTAAAATTATTTTTTAAAAATTCGGAACGCGTTGCAAAAGACGCGTTGCCGGAGGCAACCACTAGAATTAAAAATTATTTTTAGAGAAATTGTAACGCGTTGCAGAAGACGCGTTGCCGGAGGCAACCGCCAGGTTTAAATTATTTTTAGAAGAAAACGGAACTCGTTGCAGAAGACGCGTTGCCGGAGGCAACCGCCAGAATTAAAAATTATTTTTTGAAGAAATTTGAACGCGCTGCAAAAACGCGTTGCCGGAGGCAACCGCCAGAAATTAAAATTATTTTTTAAAAATTCGGAACGCGTTGCAAAAGACGCGTTGCCGGAGGCAACCACTAGAATTAAAAATTATTTTTAGAGAAATTGTAACGCGTTGCAGAAGACGCGTTGCCGGAGGCAACCGCCAGAATTAAAAATTATTTTTTGAAGAAATTTGAACGCGCTGCAAAAACGCGTTGCCGGAGGCAACCGCAGATTTAAAAATTATTTTTTAAATTCGAAACGCGTTGCATAAAACATGCGGGCCGAAGGCCCGCATGTTTAATTTATGACTCAAATTCAAAAATTTATAACTTTTGAAGTATTAGGCTTAGAAAGATGGTTGAGGTGTCATTCAATGGGGAATTCAAAGAGGAATTATTTTTTAAATTCGAAACGCGTTGCATAAAACATGCGGGCCGAAGGCCCGCATGTTTAATTTATGACTCAAATTCAAAAATTTATAACTTTTGAAGTATTAGGCTTAGAAAGATGGTTGAGGTGTCATTCAATGGGGTTGAGGTGTCATTCAATGGGAAAGATGGTTGAGGTGTCATTCAATGGGGAATTTAAAGAGGAATTGAATGAGAATATAATCAAAGGTGTCACTTGAGTCTGAGAATGGATATTTGAGTCTGAAGTTTTAAAATACTGGGAAATTAACCCAAATTGAATTATTTTGATTGTAATAACGCTGGAGTCAGCCTTTATACCCAAAAGCTATTAAAACTACTCAGCAATTCGCGCCGAACGCTGGTTTATCCTTATATTAATTAAGACTTTTTATTCATTTTCGGTAAGTTCATATTTTTATTTTTTTATAATTTTTTAAGACTGAGTTGATTTAAAGATAAAAACTGGACCTAAAAATCCAAAAAAATAACAGGATTTGCTGAAAACTTTTTTAAATGCCAGATTGCTTTTGGCTTGGGTCTTCGAAATTTTTATCGAATCAGGGTTGGATCGAATTTTTTGAAATAACTCATAATATAAATTAACTCAGTATAAAACATTTTTACCTTTTATTACTATTTAAAATTTTAAAAACTAGTAAGCATTTAAAACTCCTACCTCACCACGTACAAAAACAATTTTCAGATGCTTAACCTCCTATCTAAAAAAAATTTTTTTTAACGCAACCCGAATTTTTTTGGTTTTATAATTGAATAGTTGAAAATTATTTTTAGATTTTCTAAAAATTTTGGCAATTAAAAAGCCTATTTTATGTGGAATTAGTTAATTCACTCATTCAACTATTCATTTATTTTTATTGCCGCAAAATTTTAAATTGTTATTTAATTTTTTTAAAGGATTTTCATAATTTATTCCTTCATTCGACTTTTTAGTATAAAATTATTCAATTATGTTTAACTAAAACATATACTTTATTACTGTAGTTAAATAGCATAAACTAGTGGGTAAGGCTATGATAGCTAAGTCCCGTGAAATCCTCGGGTTTCTGGAATCCAGACATATTTTTACAAGATTTTGTGTTTTTCACGTTCTAAAGTGGTGTTTTCAAGTTTATTCGCCGAAGCGACGAATAAGCTACCAATATAAATTAAAACTAACATCAAATTATGGCTAAATTTGGGGAGTGTTTCATTTATAGAAAGCTTTATAATTTCTAAGTTACTAATCTCGACAGTGATTAAATTCGAGACTGACTATTTTCGATATGTCGAACACCCTGTTGTTCAATCAATAATAACAGGTAGTAATTTATGCGAGTGATGGATATATATCTAATTAAAATTACAAAAATGGCGGCGACGATCTTTAAAATTTAACCAAAATATTCGACAATTTTGTTTAAACGAAGCTTAAGATTATATCAGAAAATATTATTTTAAATTCATTTCAAATTTTCTTCATTACCCATTATAGCCAAATTGATTGTGGGCGATATGGCTTAATAAACTGAAATAAATTAAAATACATTAATAATTAATAACATATTTTCTCTCTGATGAATAATTACGACCGATAAACACATAGTACCCAAAAAAATATTTTGAAGGGAGTATCTGAAAGTATCATTAATGTTGGGGACCCGAATTTCAGAAGCAACAAAAACAAGATTTAAAGAGTATCCATTTAGGAATGCCAAGTAAAATAGTATATTTGTACTTTATTTGTTAGTGAGGAAGGATTTAAATATACTTTAATATTTCTGTATTTTAAGAAGATATTAAAAATATTTTTTTAAAAAAATTACCGGCAATTGGTTGTCAATTGGAAAACTAGGAGAATAATAATAGATATTGCCTCCAGTCTGTTCTTCACCGTTTGGAGCAAATGCAGAATTTCCTTTTTGTTCGTTTGAATCAAAATGCCGTTTTCCAATCCGCATTAAATTTCGTAAATTGTTTGATTTGCGTACTCGTAACTAGGAAAAAATTTAATATTTCTTTATAGGCCCCCATTTTTATTTGGTGTAGTACAGAACTGAACTGAGTGGTTTTTGCAGTTCGGTTTCTTATCCCAAGAATATCTATTACTTTACAAGTTTTAGAAACTAAAGTAATCAGAAATGAAATTCTATTTTTAGTAAACTAATTTTAGTCAGGCTTCAACACAAAATTTTAAACTTTTAATTATTATTTAGAGGATTGCTATTAATTAGATTCGTTCAATTAAAATAAAAACACTTTTATTTTTAACCCCCAAATTTAATTTAATTAAAACCTCGTTATAATCAGGTGTCCTCTTTGATGCCTAAAATAATAGCTAATTAAATTTTTTATTATATCTACTATATTTCTACTAATAGAATGAATTTGTATTGCGATTAAAATTAATAGAATGCCGAGGCATCCTATCAGAGGAAAAACAAAATTCTAAATTTTCAAAAAATGTAAAAATCCCAATTAATTCCAACATAATAAATAGTACATACAAATAATTATAAATATTAACTTAGAAAACTTAATTTGGTGTTCAGTCAATGGAGGCGTGTTAATTTTTTGGATGCCTAATACTTCTTAGGCAATTTTTTATTAGCTTAATTAGCCACCAAATGTTTAGCGCTTACAACTATATATATATATTACCGTATTTTTTCTAATAGAGAGGCCGGCCTCTCTATTTATCAATCCCGGCTCAAAGGGCCGCTCTATTGTGGACGTCCGTTTAAATGGAGGTGGCCGCTCTATTAGAGGAAATATGGTATTTTAATCAGGCTTGCGCACAAAATTTGAAATTTTTTAGTATTTTCGCTTCAATTTTCTCTTCGTTAATGCTTTTTTATGTTCCGATAAGTACCTGGAATTGTCCTTGATCAGCAAAGGAAGGTATAGCAAATGCTGATAAATGTATTGGTTGTTGATTAGCTTTAGGTGTATTTAATGGACGTAGAGTGCCCAGATGTGTCAAACTTTAAAATTGAATAAAATTTTCTTTAAAAATCCTAAAATAATTTACCCAAGAAATTGTCTCAATTCAGGCATTAATTCATTCAATTTTTGGTAAGTATAAGCTGATTCAACTAGAGATATCGAACACAGGGTAATGAAGAGAACAAGTTTTGGCTGATCGTTAAATGAAATACTCATTTTATTTTTAATTATTTTTAGGTAAATTAATTGGGAAACAAGTACTGAAATTTTAAAGAATTTAAATAAATTTTGGAGTAATTTGTAAAAAGTTTAATTGTTGACAAAAAGTGAACTTGGAAAGAGGCTGAAGATCAGGGATGGATCTGAAGATCAAAGACGGGTCTAAAGATCAGGACTGGGGGCTCATTTTTAAAAGCAGAAGGGGTATGTAAGAAGAAAACAGAACCTAATAAGGTGTGGCCGACGGAACGCGCAAATAAAAATAAATAAAGTCGGAAATAAGACACAAGGTGTTGCTTAATTTGTTAATCGGGCCTAGATAGATTTTATTCGAAAATTTAATAGTGGAGTTGTTCAAAATTCCCGTTACCTAATGAAGGATTTTGGGAAAAGCCTGAATTTAAAAAATCTAAAATTTCCAAATAGGTTATAGAGATGCCAGAGGAATGGTTTGGTAATTATATTTTCAAAAAAATGATATCATCAGTCTATAAAAATCCGAGTATTTTCAATGTATATGGAAAAATTTAATTTTTAGTAAAAAATATTTTTGGATTGAAATTTGTATATAAAAATATATTTATTTATAATACTTAGTTAGAATGTACCATTGTCTATTCAAAGATTTCGTGGACCTGAGGTGTTTTAAACAATGAAAAAGGAATTTATGGTATGTGCTTTTTCTGGAATTAAAATAACTAAAAGAAATAACAAAAGGTTTATAACGAAAAAAATTCGCTCCAATGATTTTTAAAATTAAAATGTATCCAGATTGAATTAATTAAATCATTTTTTATTTGATAAGATTGAGTAAATAAAAATGTAAAAACTTGGAATATTTTTGGGGAAGGATTCGAACTCTTTTGTTTTATAAAATTAATTTTTTCGGCATACATTTGAAACACTAAGGAAAATCTAAAATGGATATTTCTTTGGAGAAATTTATTGGAAGGGAGATGGCCATCATCGGATGTAAACCTGAGCTCAAAACCGATTATAGGTAAATTTTATTCATTAATTTTCTTTTTTGGGGTTTGAACAGGGAGTCTTCCGAATACAGAAAGTTTGGAGTTGGAAATTCTTGTTCCCTAGATGTGAATTTATTTTTGACAACAAAACGACTTTCACATTTGAATAAATATTAGGTAGAATAAAAAATTAGAAACTAAAATTTAAAAAATTCTCAATTTTGTTTTAAAAATTGCAAACAAATTAAAAAACAAAAAATAAAAAAATATTTTTTTTGCTAGAAAACATGCATTCCTTATTTATATAATTTTTTGCTTTTTGAATTATTAATTTATTACCTTAAAAATTATACATAAAAGAAATGGTAATGAAAAGAATCCTTTGAATGTCTATTTAATAATTAAAAATTCTAAAATTTTATTTTTGGATATTTCCGAATTAAGATTTGAAAAAAAAATTAAAAATAGAAACACATTTTGAAATAATTAGCAATGTTATTTTTTATGGCAATGGAGGGAGGATATGTTTTTTAATGTATAAATTTAGTAAATTATTTAATTTAAGTATTTCAAGAACAAATAAGGCTTAGTTAAACAGCTAAAAACATAAAAGGGATTCAATTTACTAAACAAATATTCAACTAAATAGGGGATAAGCGACATGAGATAGTTTTGGCTGGGTTAGTGTTTAATGTCTTAAAAGTTAAATTTAGGACTTTGCTATTTTAATGAAAATTTTGTTAGGTAAAATACATGGCGGCACTTTGTGATGTTTGTTTTATGCACCACATGATTAAAATAGACAGATTTGAGAAATCAATTCGTATTTCGGATCCAATATCCAATGGAAATTTTCAGATTTTCAGATCCGGAAACGATATTTTCATTAAATGGAGAGGGTATGGATTGAAAGAGAGGGTATGGGTAATAATTTCCGATAGGAACTATTTTGTAGCAATAAGCCAGTATTCCCTTTCTGTTTCGCAGGCAAAATTTAAGATTTTAGGTAAGTCAATAAGAAATCTCTCCTTAATAACGGAAAGAAAAACCATGTAGCTTATAAGCCTAAGAGATTCTTTTCGTAAAAAATATTTGGACCCATAGAAATCGATCCGCTAAGCTTAGAAATGATTGAAAGTCTATATACATAGATCTAACAATTATAGTATACACTCTTAACAATAAAAAAATTCTTTTTTTAATAGCTTCGTGGATTACATATTTAATTAAACAAAAAATTAATTTTATATAAACATTAATAAAAACAAAACAAAAAATTAGCTTATAAAATACCAACATTTATATAAATGACGCCGAAAACTTTTAAATTACCCACATATTTATATTCTTAAATTCCAAACTTTTTACTTGTTAAGCTCTGATTGGCCATTCTCCCACAAAATTTATTTTTATAAAAACCGTATTATTAAAATGCCAATCGTGGGAAAATTAAAAATAAATCTTTCTTTTTTTATGTTAATGCCAAAACTCTCTCCCTTCCCTCCCCACTTTCTCCCTCCAACCTAATTAACAAGCATTTCGGCTACCTTGGTGAATTAGAATTTTTATTTTTAATTTAAATCTCGTCAGGTTATTTAACTAATTTTTTGTATGTTGTGAGAATAATGTAGCTCTCAGGAAAACGGTAAAAGCATTTTTGAAAAATTGCGGGGGCTTAAAAACTTCCTTTTTATTATACAAAATTTTCACATTATAATAAAAAAAGATAAGAATAAATTAATTAAAAAATATTTTAAAAAATTGTATGCCAAAATGTCATTTGAAAATTTGTATTAAGTTATGTAAGTACTATTACATCATTGTAAATACTAGGAGTGTTAAAAGAAGGGAATAGAAGAAGTGTTTGGAAACTCGCACAGAAATTCATGCTTAAGACTGTGTGTGAGTTTTAGAAATAAATTTAGACAGGCATGAGTACAAATATGAGTCACATAGCAGCATTTAAATCGCTTATGATGGGGTTAAACGATCTAAAAAGGGAAAAGAATAAGCATAAGCGGTGAGTGAAAGCGCCTATAAGCGGTAAGTGATATAAGCGGTGCGTCACTCCTATAAACGGTGAGTGAAAGTACCTAGCAATGGCTGCAAGGAGGTTGCAGATTCGAATCCTGCCCGATGACTGAACTTATGCTTCTCTTCTCGAGGAAAAAATCTGTATGGAAGTATGTACGCCTACGAGCTGTGAGAATAATGTCACTCTAAGTTCAAGTCACTCGTGGGAGGTGTTGGAGATAAAGTTAAAATACGGGAGGAGGTGGAAACTAAAATTGCTGAGTTTTAAAAGAAATTGGAAAAATTTGATTAGAAGAACCAAAAAACTACATATTTTTCATTTTTATAAAGAATAAACTAAATGAAAATATTTTAAAAAATTTCAAAAAATAAAAAAAATTAATTATTAATAATTAAATAATTTTCATTAAAATTTATTTATATTACACACCTGTTTCTATATTTAGCTAAACAAAAGAAAAATAATTTTATTTTGTTTTGCAAATTTGAAACTAAAAAATGAAATATTATTAAGACTAATTTTTATTTTTTTTGAGAATATTTTTATTTTTTTTTCTTTAAAAATAAATGCCAAATATGGAAACAAATTTACAAATTCACAGCTATAATTAATTAAAAAATTTTCCAAAAGTTTTTTTTATTTAAATAATTCATTTTCCGAATTATTTAAATTCTTTTTTTGTTTTTCTGCCATCATATTAATTGTTGATAATTCACTACGCCACAAATTAAAATTTGTACGGAGCTGGTTTATGCCTAGAATTTTTAATTAAATTAATAAAAATAATTTTTAAAATTTATTTTAAAATATGTGGTTAGGATTAGAGCCGGACTTTAGTGATCGTTCGATAATATCGGTATCGATATCGAAAAATATCGATAATTTTTCGATATTTTTTTTCGATATTTTCCCCGACGGGGGAACTTGTTCCAATAAAGGGCGAAGTTGTACCAATGATGGAGAAGTTGTCCCAATGTCGTGGGAAGTTGTACCTATGACGGGGACATATAAATCATCCAGATTAGCTCAGACCCATAAAGTGCAGTTTTTGAAGGGTAAAGGTCAAAAATTTAAAAGAAATTATTATCGAAAAAATCAAAAAAATTTTCGTTCGATAATATCGGTATCGATTATCGATAATATCGACATCGATATATCGATATTTTCCATCGATATATCGTATAGATCCGGTCTCTAGTTAGGATTTACATACATTGAATAGACTAAAAATCTCAAAATTTGAACTAAGTAAAGGTTTTTTATTTCTGTGCTACTGAAACGGTTTTGGTTGCAGGTTAGGTTGCTGTTTAACAGAGTTAATTCATAATACAATCCTAAACATTTTTTGAGTTAAAGATTAGTAGCTGGATAACGTTCAGCTTCCAAAAAATGCATGATGGAAAGATTAAAACCACATTTATCTAGTAAATTCACGAATATTTAAAAACGAAAAAATAAAAAAATAAATATTTATATAATTCAGCTTTGAATGTGTTGGGGGAACCGACTAAAAAACTTGGAATTTCGATTTCAGATTTTTAGTAAAAATTTCAAAAATCATTAGCTAACATAATTTTCAAAATTATTAATAAAATTATTACTTTCAAAAGTTGTTACAGCCATTTGTTCTTCATTATAGAAATATTTGATAGAATTATTTATAAATACATTTTCATTATTTGTAGCCAAATCCATTAATTTATATGCCTTTAATTTAATTTATTAATTAAATAAACTACCGTCGGACCTCATTATGTATTAGGAACTTGATTTTTAGGTGTATTACCTGTTTTTCTCCGAACTTCCTTAGCTCTGAGAAGAATAAATCCGATGTTATTCACATTAAGTCAATTAGTTTAAGATTTCTATATTTCTATCTTGTTTGACATCGAAATCTCATTATACGGTTACTTACTCAATATACGGTTATCTTATCATTATACGGTTACTTAATATTCAACAATGGATACAACTCAGTCAAGGTATTTTATGTCTAAGTCTTTTAATGTTATCAGCTCGGTGCCAAAATTCAGTAAAGTTCAGAACCGAAGTCACAAAACGCCCAATATCAAGCAATAGATATAACCCGATATAAGACACTTTATTTATGATACTCTCTTTATCTCTTATTTAAAATAAATCTTTTAAAAAGAACAGTTCTTTGCCAAAATGAGGTCCGACTATAACAATTTAATTTGAAAATTAAAATCTAAACTCTATCCAAAAACCGAATATATTCTGTTGCAATTCTCAAAGTATGTATTTTGCTCATTTTGTCAGAAGGAATTGAAGGTATTGCATGTCTGAGTCTTTTAAATGCTTCGTTTAATTCCTAATTTAGAAATAAATTTTATATAAATTTTCTAGTTAATTAACTTCCGTTCTTTGCCTTTCCCTACAATTAGCCATATTTCTTTTTAATTCCAAAAGTTTTTGTTCATCAACGATTTGCTCTATTTTACAACCATTTTCTATTGAAAATTATTTTAATGAGAGAAGAAATAAAAAATTTTTTGAACTAACCAACAGAATGTTTTTGTGTCATTGCTTGTTTATAAGCAAATTGAAGAGCCTGGATGTAAAAATTTTTTAGTTTTAAAATTTATGGATTATTTAGATAGAAATTATTTCTTGAAAATTTTTGGGGATAGAATAATTCTGGGGATAAAAATTCCAGAAATGTTTAAAGTTTATGGAAACTGATTTGAATAGAAAAGTTAATTAAGCGGCTGATTGAGCGGCCTTTTCTAATGAGCTGCCTCTATTAGAGAAAATAATGTATGAGAGAATACGGTGTGGACGACAGTAATTCAACCTGTACCTCCGATTTTCATTTGACCAAATTAAATATAATTTTGGTTTTTGATATTATTTCTTAGTGAAATATCGTTACTTAATTTGAATTGTTTTTCAAAAAATCATTTATTCCAAAACTTTTTAATTCAAGTTTAAAATTTAATAAACCCAGTTAGTAATTTAATTTATGAAGTTCAAAATTTTGGATTAAAAAAGGTAGTTTAAAATCTTTCATTCTCAGCGCCGCAGTCGAAAATTTTGAGAATTTTGGTCCGATATATATCACGATTCGTATCGGGATCCGATGCAAATCCCAATACCGAACGACCATAGTTTATATTGCTACTCGAAGAATATTTAATTTTAACCTAATATTTGTATTTAAAATTATAAGCTTAATATTTTACTTTAAAAAACAAAAAAAAAATATTAAAATTTATACATTAAAAGCAGCGTTATATCTCTGTCTGCAAGGGGCGCTTTGAGGCAAAATTTGTCTTTGAGCTAAAGTAGAAGCCACAAAAGCTGGTTTATTTATAATTTTGTTGTTTAAATTTATTTTATTTATTTTTGTTTTGTTTTTTAAATTTTTTGACACTGATTTGGTAGATAATTCTTCTTTTTTACCAAATGCTTCTTCAGTTTGTGGTGAATAGAGAGGAGAAGAAGAAGGATGATTTTGGGGCGGGGAAATTGAGGACATAATAAAGGAAGAATAAAAGAAGGAGAGTAGAAGAAAAATTTTGTTAAATTCTTTTAAATTAAGAAAATTTAGCAACTGATAAAAAATAATTCTGGAAAAATTTAAATAATCATTCTGTGAGAGGATTAATATAAATTTTATTATTTATTAAGATTTAAAAATTTAGAAAAAATAAATCTTGAACGGTTCATTCTGAAATTTAAGGCAATCTTTTTTTGTAAGCAGTGTTTAACCATTGCTAAATTTGTAAAAGAAGTAACTGGAAGGGAATTTTAATTCACCAAAAAAAGAAATTTTCTGTGTCGGAAATTCATGAATAAAAGCCAAAATCGAGAAATAATTTTCAAAAACTAAGTTGAATTTAGAAAAATTTTTTAACAATTAAACTGCCTATGAAACTGGGAAAATAAAAAAATTTATAAAAAAGATTTATAAAAAAGTGTAATATAATCCATATTATTTATTAGAATTTACAAATCTGGAAAAAATATTTTGAAGAAATCAAGATGAAAATCTTAAGAGACCCTTCGGTCACTCAGGTTTCTAATAAACAAAAAATTTGTTGAAATACCGTATTTTTCCTAAAAGTGCGACTGTCTATATTAGACCGACCCGTTATATTAAACCTTCCTTATAAAGAATGGTTGAAAAATAAACCGACCGGTCGAACTATTAGGAAAATACTGTAATTGAAGATATCTAGGATGAGGAAATTTCTATTTTAAAGCTAAAAATATTTTTTATATTTTTTTTCTGATCAAAGAGATGCGCATAAAACTAAATCATTTTTTTCCCTTTTTTTGTTATTCTTTAGAGAAAATGTGTTTTCTTTTTAAATGAAAAATTGTGGAAAAGTCAGCTTTGAAATGATCATAAATTTTGTTTTCTTAACTAAATGGCCAGAGGGGATTGAAAGAAAATTTTGTCAATTTTATTAAGGGTGTGAAGAATCGTGGGGCCTAATGGGTAATAAAAGAAAGGAAAGGAAGAGCAAATTTGGGGTAAAATACTAAAACTTTTTGGCGGAATAGGTTTAAGTAGATTGGAAGGAAGGAGTAAAGTTAGGGAAGTAAAATAAATAAAAGGATAAAAATATTTTGGTTACTATCTAAACAAATTAATTTTTTTGGATTTGTTTTTAAAAAAATTTAAGAGGGTAATCAAAAATTAAAACAATTTTTTGAAGGAAAGTTTTTAATTTAGGTAGTTAAAGTAATTGATGGGAAGGCCAATCGGTACTTTTCGGTTATCTCACAACATTTTCCTAAATTTGATCGGTTATAACTTTTTTGTTTGATCCTATCCGAATAAATCTCATATCATTCAGTAGCTCACAATAATCTCATGTAATTAATCACTAGAGACCAGGGCTGGGCGAAGTCAAAAAATAAAAAGCGAAATGCGGAATGCGAAACTTTTCGCGCCAAAAAATGTGAAAAATGCGAAAGTTGCGAAACGCGAAAATGCGAAATCGCCCAGCCCTGCTAGAGACGTCCGAGACTCTTGGTCTTAAGTCTTGATTCCATTACCATTCTTCGGTCTTTTTCGGTTTTCTCCTTGGGGTGTAGTCTTGAGACTTGGAAAATTTTCAGTTTCGGTCGTTTCTATTAATCACGATACCAAAATATTTTTATTGTTAGTACACTTGATCTAAAATTTCTTGCTGTAATTATGAAGAAAAAATTATAAAATTTTGATTAAAAAAATAATTTATTTAAAAAATATTTTTAGCCAAAATATTTTTTGTCAAAAAATTAAACAAAAAAATATTAAAAAAAGTTTTTAGATAAATGGATGGGAAAAGTCTCCAACTTTTGTTTAATAAATAACCGCTTATTTTTTATTTTTTCCATTAATTCTCTACTTTAAAAAGAATAAAAATATGTCCCAGCAGCGTGACAAAAAATGTTACTTTTTTATAAATTTGTGACCCTTTTATTTTTTGTTAAAAAACAATTTTTATATGAATAAATTTAAAATAATAATTTATTAATAATTTTTAATTAAAATTCTTTAAATTAAAATATTGGAAAAGGGGAAGACTTTCCCAAGGATGATGAATTATCTTTAAATTTTTTTTTTGAAAAAATTACCAAAAACGTAGCCAACATTTAAAGGCAGAGTTGGGTCGGAACAATCAAAGGTGTCGGAAATCGGAAGAGCCGAAAATCAAAACTGGCTCAAAAGTTGGAACTCGGAATTCCGACCCATTTCTATTTAAAAGTGAGACATTTGAGGATAAATTACCGCATTTCCTAAAATAGTACTCCCGGGAGTACTATTTTTTAGTGATGTTCGAGAGTCAAAAAATCCCGAGAGTCGAGAGTCGAGACCGAGACCGAGAATCAACCCCGAGACCGAGACCAAAACGAGAGTCGAGAGTCGAGACCGAGAGTCGAGACCGATAGATTAAGAGGGATATCACTTGATGTCCCTCCTAATCCCCAAAAATCCCTTGATATACCTCAAAATCCCCATACTCGCTTGAATCCCCTTGTCCACAATATATATTCAATGATATTCACATTAATCTCTTAAAATCCCCTCATATCCTTCCATATCCCTACAAATCCAACAATATCTTTTTGATCCATCGATGCACCCATCCATTGATATTAAATTTTATCCTTCAGAATCCACAGTATCTAATATACCACAAACCACAAAATCTAATCCTTTAATCTTATTAAATTAAAATTTTTGCTGCATTTTTGGCGCCGCAGGCGAAAATTGTTTGAATTTTGGAGCTCAAGAAGCCAGATTTCTTCCATTTTTCAGCGCCGCAGGCAAAATTTTGGGAATTTTGGAGACTTTTCCTTAAAAATTTTAATATCAAAGTACGCAAGGTCCGAGTAAAGTTCAAAAAATTTCCGTCATTAGGGGTGTAAATTTAGTCTCGTTTTCCGAGACCAAAACACCGAGACCGAGACCGAGACCGAGAGCTCAAAAAACCCGAGAAATTTCTCGACTCGAGAGTCGAGACCGAGAGTCTCGAACATCACTACTATTTTTCAGCCCTCCTCCAAAGGGGAGTATTATTTAATGGGGAGTACTATTTCAGAAAATACGGTAACTATAAAGTCGGTCATAAAAATAAAAAAACAAAAGTTTATTTCTACTAAATCAAATTAAAAAATATATAGAAAATGATTTAGTTTTACAAATATAAAAATTAATTTTAAATATATTTAGTTTACAAATATTAAAATTTAAATTCGTTAATTTCTAAAAAAGGGAATATTTAATTAATTTAATTATTTAAATTCATCCAACTTTTCTTTTCCTTTAGCGCTTTTATTCGACTTTTTTGTTTCTTCATCTTGATTATTTTTTTCATTTTCTAATTGTTTTATTATTGAATCTAAATGTTTAGTGTTTTGACGAGTTAAATAAGGCTGTTGAGAATTTGGAATTATTTTTGTTGCTATGGGGCGAAAAAGTGTTTGGGGTTCATTGTCAGCAACTTGTATCCCATTTGGATTTTGAACAGTTTGTTGATTTTGCAGATAGTCTTCTTGTTGTTCCTGAATTGGAAATTTGTGTTATTTAGAATATATATTCTAATAATTAATTATCTAACTCTTAGATTCAAAAACTCATAAACACAAAAGCTTCCATAGCTATACTCTTACAGCTATCTCCCATAACATTTTGTCAATCTTTTACTATTTGCATATACCGGCTATCGGTATAATAAAATAACGACAACTGCAGAAATACTTCAGGCTTCTATGAGATAACTTTTTAGGGTATTCAAATTATAATTTACCTACAGATATCCAAAAAGAGGGCGGATCCAGATATCCAAAAATTTTGGATTGTATATCTGAAATCATTTCTTGATCCTCCAACTTTAGACACACTAGGGTGTGTCTAAAATTTTAAAAAGCGAAAGAAGTACTAAAGAAAATAAAAAACGGAAGTTGAAGAGATTTTATCCCTTATACAACTACTATCCAGCAGAACTTAGAAATCGAATGAGATAATATTTTAAGATCGAACAAACCATCTTATATTTCAAGATTTCATCTTCCACAGATTGTTTAATCAGATTTTTTAAGATTCCTTCTTGTAATTGTTGCAGAGCCTTATTTGAACTTTCCGCAGGGTTTTGTTGAATTGGTTTAATAAATTGTTGTCCTTCATTATGTTGTAGGAGTGGATTTTCTTGTGGCAATTTTTGATCGAAAAGTTGCTTTTCATGTTCTGATCCTTGTTGCTCTTTATAAGCTTTTTGATGTTGTAATAGTTGCATTTGTGTTGGAACACTTTCTGTTAACGGGTTTTGTTGGAAAGTTTGAGAATGCTTCCATTCTTCATATTGTCGTCGTAGTTGCAAATCAAGTTCATTATCTAGTTGGAAATTTTGGCCAAAACGGGCTCGCTGTCTTTGTTTATATTCTTTTTTCTGTTGCTGATTTTTAAATGGAAACATGAATTTTTGTAATGAATTGTTTTTCTGATTATAAATTAAATTTTGTTTTGGCATATTTGATGGTTGTCGATAGCCTAAAGTCTTTGAAGTTTCTGCTCGCTTATTCAAAGAAGTCGTTTGTTGAAAATTCTGTCCCATCTTACTCGATACCTGTTGATAACCTGCATTAGTTGAAGGTTCAGTTATCTTATTTAATGTATTCGCTTGTTGATTTTCTATTTTTAATGGACGTTTTTCCGATAGAAAATCTGTCAACATAGATTTTTGTTTAGAAGAAGAAGAACCAGCTTGTTCTGACCCTTTTCTCAAATAATCAGTCCATTGATCAGCAAAACTCTTATCTGAAGGTTGCTGATTAGTTTGTTCAATGGTTGGCTTTGGTAAAATAGGTCGTAAATTTGTAGTCGGCTTGAACATATGAGTATGTTGGAAATACTGATCTGGTGTCAGCTATAAATTAAAAAATAAGAAGCGACTGATGTCAGGTTTATGTCAGGGTTTATTGTTAGGGTTATCGTAGCTAATTAGGTATTCAAAAATTTAAGACAAATTTTCTAAAACGGAAAAAAATAATCTATGTATTAACTCCGACGATGATAGTAAATGTTTAGCAAGAGCTTAGCCACCGGGCCGGATTCTAACTTGCGATAGGTCCCCTGCGCTAGACTACGCTTCCAATTTGCATAAGCTCTACCGCTGTGCCTAGACTAGCATTTTTTGTTGGTATTTCCAACATTCAAAAATACATAAGTTATAATGGCAATGACAACATTCCGCTTATCTTGCTTAATAGTAGAGATACATATATCCAATTCTAGTATTTACCTTTTTTCGGATGAATACTAGAATTTGCGGATTTTAATTTTAAATTTTCTAAAACATAAGCTTGTTGGGTCTACTATTCGGTTCCAAACCACAGCTGTTTCGAAACTAAGAAATCTTCGGAAATCATAAATCGAAATTTTGAAACAGCTCTGTTTCGAACCGAGCTTTAACGCTTACATTATTTTGTTTAAGCAATTGTGAAAAATCCATTGGTTTCATATTACTTATATTTGAAAAATTTCTATTTTCTGGTGTTAAATGTGCCTCAAAAGCATGTTTTTGTACCACTGAAGGTTGACTCGAACTAGCCCCAATTTTTTCCATATTTATTCCTTGATAATTCTCCTGTATTTTATTCGATGGAGCATAATTTATATTTTTTCCTAGTAACTTCAAAAATGGCTTGGATTCTTCTAGACTTGTCATTTCCTTCTTCACGTTAATTAAATTTTCATTTTTGTTTGCTATAAAATTATTAATTAAATTTTGGGTAGAAACTGAAGTGATCATTATTTAAACAAGAACCAATTAATCATATTAACTTAATACTAGGTTAGCTCTCGATCCCTTTAGTCGTCGGATGTGTAGTGGTTCGGGTTTACTGTACGAGCTGCTATATTTATTCCTTGATAATTCTCCTGTATTCTATTTGGTGGAAAAATTAATAATTAATGTCGCGGGCTTTGAGTAGATTATGCGGTTATCGAGTGGTAATCAGTGATGTCAAAGTTCCAGTTCCAGTTCCGGAACTAAGGAATTTCAAAAATGGAGTTCCGGAACTGGAACTACAAAAATTAAAAACCTGGTTCTGGAACTGGAACTAGTTCCAGAGAAATTTTGGAACTTTGACATCACTAGTGGTATCAGAGGAATGAGATGGATATCGAGGGATTAAGCGGTATGAAGTTTCCGAGTACGGGTAATACCGAGTATTGGGATCCCGAGTTCCGAGCCCCCCGAGCGATCGAGTCGAGTAAACTCGAACTCGCTCGACTCGGACGTACTCTACTTTCAAGTCAAATTCTTGATAATTGTTGTAAATTATTTCAAATGTATTATTAATACCTTTATTTGCCAATGCATTTATTATGTTTCTATTCATGTTTTGTTCATTAAATTTTATTCCTTGCTGAATTTGCAATGTACTTTTGGGTAATGGGGGTGCTTTCTCTTTTTTTAATGTGCAAATAACTTCTAATTCATTACTTATGTTATAAATTGATAGTAAATATTCATTTGCATGTAATTCATAAAACTGGGGTGTTGGGCAGAAAAAGTCTAACTAAACAAAATTATCATTATTATTAGAACGTTTTTTCTTTCCGTTACATTTTCATGGGAAAGCTTTAAAATTTTTTTAACAAAATTAAGAGTGCCTCTGGGCGGGAGCAGGTCCACCTACCGCGAGCCCAACCTACCGCCGAGCTATAATTTCGTTCAGAATTGTCGAATCCGTGACTATTAGTTCTGGGCATGGCATCGTCTAACCAAAATTTTTGGTCTGCTTGGCCCACAGCCGAGATGTGAAGATAGTCAAAGGCGGGGCTAGGGGCATACATAACCAGCAGAGATAGAATGTTTTTATTTAGATTCTCAACCCCGAATAAAAAACTACTTACACTTATATTAAATTCCTTTAATTTTAACCGATACTGATCTTCTGGACATGGAACTCCTTCAAAAAATGTTGTATATATGTAACCTGCAGTTGTAAATATTTTTAAATTTTTTAATTCATTCTGAATATTAGAAGGCTTTGAACAGTTTAACTCATCAAAGCTTAATTGAACTTGGCCTTTTAAGGGACTTGTGTCAATATAAAATTGAAGAATAAAGCCATTACAAGGAAGGAAATATAAAAATAGTTGAATAATTAAGGCAAATATTTTCATTTTATTTTATTTAAAAAAATAAATTTAAATTTTTGTTTGTCGCTAGACTTTATTTAGCTTTTATAAGATAAATATTTGTCTAAAAGTACAATCTTTAAATCAAAAATAAAAGTGCAATGTCTATGAGAAAATAAAATTATGAAAGATGCACTTAAGTATATTCATGTGATTGTCAGATGTCAGACAAGCAACATTCTTGTTTTGAAATCAGTGTTGAAATTGAAGTTGTAAGCTAGTAATTTCTTCCAAAATGTTGATAAACGACCTGAGGTGTGTTCAAATACAAATACGAACGTGAGTAACAAACTATTCTTCATCACAAAGGAATTACAATAGATTAATAGTGACTATGCATTGGATATAGGGTGGAAGGACAAGGAGAAAGATTTCTCCCTTTTCAGCGCCTGCGGCGCTGAAAATTTTGAGAATTTTAAAGGTCAAGAAGCTAGATTTCTGCCATTTTTGTCAGAAAATTTGGAATAATATTATCGCGTCTTGTTGGAATCGTACCTATTTTTACGAGTCATTTGTCGAAGGCAAAATATTTAAAAATTTTCGAAGGCTAGATTTTCTAAGTAGAGCGAACCGAACCCCCAAAGTTGCTCATCTGATTCAGCAGGCGGCCCAATCATCAATTTCGATGGCTAATAGAAAAATCTTGGGGGTAAATTTCGGGATTGATGTAGTAAATAAGCATGCTCGCTTTCTTCAGCGCCGCATGAGATTTTTTGAGAATGTTGGAAGTTTAAGAAGCCAGCTTTCTTTCAATTCCTCGAAAAGTCCATTCATTGTATATTTAGCCCTCGACGAGGTTCTTGGCGAGGGCGGAAACCGAGGTTCCGAGACCGAGGATCGACCGAACCGTTCGAACGACATCTGCCAACGTCGCGCAACCCTAATCTATATTCGAAAGCTCTTTACCGAAAATTTACATAAACTCTGTCTAAAAAGTTTAAGCACCCCCAAAATTTTTGTAAAAATACATGATCCCTATGCATTATTTGTTTGATTTTTTCATACATTAGCAGATAAAAAATTAGTTTTTAAATTTTATTAGTCTATTTTCCGTTCGAAATTTAATACGTATATTTTTAAAATTAATTTATTTTTGTCTCAGCAAAAATTTTTTCACATCCTTTTCGTTTTCTATATTTGTTTTTTATAATATATTTTTTATAATATATTTATAATATATTTGCCATAACAAAGATTACACCAATAAGGGCATTTTCCAGAGCCACAGTTTCCAATACAGCTTAGTGGAAGACATCTACGGCGTACACGGAAATATCCAAGAACTGGGCTTTCTGTAACGATTAAAAATAATGTTTTTTAGTTTATTAAGAAGTCAGTATTCCTTTCTTATTTTGTGCTTAATTACTTTTACGTTGGAAAAATTTGATAAAATTAAAAAAATTAAAAACTGTCAAGAATTTGATGTATTCTATCGGATCTTTTTGTTGTTGAAAATATTGTACACTCAACTGAGAGTTGAGTCCGATTATGCATGATAATTTTTATTTAATTCGTTTTTGATAATTCTGATGAATATAACCGTATATAAAAAATTTTAAAAAAACCCCTGCGAGAGGTTGTGAGATTAATCCAAGATTATGATAAAGATAATAAAGTAAGTTCAAATTTGTAAGGTAGTCCGTGAATCCGACGATACCCATCAACCCCCACTCCTAAACACTAGCTCATTTTTACTATTTGGATGGATATGAATAAAAAATTTTCTCATGTTACTATGTACATTGACTTGAAGATTGATCGGAATTCTCTCTATAATTATCCTTTATAATTATCCCATATCTCTATAATTATTCCCATCTCGGTACCCCCAATTTTTTATCTCAACTATAAGCATTACCAATGTCAGCCATGTCAACATTCTCTTCCCCATGACCTTCCATTCCTTTAATTTCTTTATTTGTTTCAGCCATTATAACAGCAATAGAATAAATCAAAACAATAATTAAAATTAAGTAAATTTTCATTTTTATTTTGAATATATTTTCTGTTTTATTATTTTTAAAATTTTTTAATATTTAAAAAATTTTTTTTTAGCTTTTATAAAGTTTTTTTTTCGTCTCAATCGCAGTTTTTAATAGTTTTAAAGTTCCATTATAAAATGTACTTTTATTTAAAAAATATTTAAATGTAAACAAATTAATAAAAAAAATTTTTTTATTTAGTTCATATTAGTAATTTATTTTTAATTTATTTCAAATCTAAAACTGGTTTTTGTTTAATTTTAAAAATTTATTTTCTTATTTTATTTTTATTTTTTAAACTTGTTTTGATTCAAATCAAATTTTATAGCTCAGACACGACGATTTCAGACAATAAATTTTAATGTGATAAAATAAAAAATTACTTCCTTAACATAAAATTTAAAATTGTCAAAATAATTTTAAGAAGATTTGAGTGCGAGTCTAGCTGCTTTGAAACAAAAAAATCTTCGAAATATAAAATCGGAAGAAAAAAACGTCGCAAATCGAAATTTCGACGCAGCTCTGGTTCGAGTCAATAAATCGATTTTCGATAAATCGAGATTATGTGTTACATGCCATAGGAATCCTTGAATCCCCTACTAACGGTTTCACTGATGAAATATTAATGTTTTAGATTGATATTATTCCCACAGTCATTCTGATGAAATAAAATTGAGGCTTGCTTTAATCTGTATGCGAAATTATTAAATAAATTATACTAACAAGGTAATTCGATTTTGTGACCACGATATCCATTCATATTCCTGATATATTCCTTAATCTCCCGAATCCGCTTAACACCAATCAATCCGTTAATTGGAGTTAAATTAATTTAGTTAAATTAATTTTTTAAATTAATTTAATTCCAATTAAGCCCCCATAAAACCTCCTTGATTCCACTAAGTCAATCGTCATCCCATTGATCATCGATATTTGTCTAAATCCGCTGCACCAAATGATCAATTGATGAAATTAAGCAAATTAAAGTAAATTTTCAAAAGTTATAAAACTCGGGTATCATTAAACTTGGCCTTGGCCAAATTTGACCCTCGACCTCGATCACGGCTATTAAAGCCTCGGAGATCCTTGGTCTTGGTTTTTTCGGAAAATCTCGACCACACGCGCAACTCTAGACAAAGCAAAATTCATAAAAAGTAAAAAGAATTTAATGTGTCATCAAAACTTTTTTATAGTTTTGATATATATTGTCATCAAAACTACATATAAATATTTGTAAACATTTATACTATCACAATTGAAAATTACAATAAAATAAATTTTTTATAAAATATTATACATTCTTCAATTTCTCAATTCAACTTTCCTCAAATATCCCTTCAAATCACATACATATATCCTTCTGGCAACAAATCGTGACTATTTTTTAATTTTTTTAAATCAATTGAATTTTCTTCGTTTTTATTAAATGACTCAGTCCTCGGCCAAAAATAATGTTCGGGTAATTTATGTTCAAAAGAAAATTTCTCCCAACTTTCTTTATGTTCAAATTTTGTAGATTCACCAGCCAATGCTTTTTGTTCTGACTACAGAGCACCTTACAATTATCTAAAAAATATGTAAATTTGTATACCTATATTTTGATATTATTAATTTATACATATTAGGGTTGATTGACTAAATGCTTGTACATATACAGCAGTTCTGGGTATGACTTCGGCTAGCCAACAATTTTGAACTGCTTAGACTCACAGCTATGGCTTTAAATAACCAACAGTGATAGAATGTTTTTATTTGGTGTACGGATATATCAGGACGGACATTCAGGATTGGGGCGGAAAAAATTTATACTGTCCACGACCAGTGGCCGTAGGTCCCGAAATCAGTAAGTAACTATTCGTACGTTAAAATATCCCGATATGTCCGTCGCGATATGTCCGCGTGCCTTTTATTTAGATCCTCAATATCAAATAAAAAACTACTTACATTAATATTAAATTCCTTTAATTTTAACGAATACTGATCTTCTGGACATGGAAGTCCTTCAAAAAATGGCGTATATATGTAACCTGCCAGTATAACTAAACTCCGTTCCAAAAAACCTCGACACCCCCAATTTTTCAGATAAATCGACTTACGGTTGTCTACTTTTTTATAATCTTTTTATATACTGATTCAGCAGCAAAAACTACCCTATTTTACAAAAAATTTTTGCAAACTGATAATTTTATCAAAAGTTATGATAAATTTTCAAAAAATCAGGCGTTCCAAATATCCTCAAACAGTTTGTAAAAATACCGATAATTACGGAAAAAATTTTTCTAAAATTTAACAAAAATTTCTATAAACATAACTATCAATAAGCTACAAAATAGAAAAAAAACTAAGTCGAAAACTGCTTTCATCATCGAGATCTCAAATCTCGAAAATCAACGGAAAATAGGGTTACAGTACTTTAAAAAATATTTTTTACCTATTACAGTATGCCTAAAAATTTCATTTTATACTTGATGAATAGCCCATAAAATTTGATACAAGTTACAAAAGGGCTCGTGTCGACGCAGAAGACCCACAGACAGAAGACCCAAGGACAGAAGAACCACAGACAAAAGACCCACAGACAGAATACCCACAAGGACAGAATACCCACAGACAAAAGACCCACACCTATTTTTTATTTCCCTTTTATTGTGCATAAATGTTGGCGCGAGGGATGTTGTTAGTTCTATCTGTTTCGCACAATAAGAAATTGATCCAACAACGGGGTTGTTTCAATATTAGGGAAAATTGTTCCAACAATCTGGAAGGTTGTTCAAACAATGTGGGACGTTGTTCCAATGACAGGGAAGTTTGTTCCAACAACGAGTATGTTATTTTAACAATGGGGAATGTTCTTGCAACAACGGGTTAAGTTGTTCCAACGATGGGAATATTGTCACAATTACGTTGGAACTTGTTTATCGAAGAGAGATCTTAATTTCCCGGATTTTCTGGATTTTGATCCTGAAAATTCGGTCAATGTCGTGTCAAAAAATCGGATCCGATCAGATTCAGATGTATTAAATAGTATAAAAATAGCTAATTGGCCTTCCAATATTCTCAGAATTCGCACCTGTGTCGCTAAAAAAGTAGAAATCAGGCTTCTTGGTCTTACAAAATTTCCAAAATTCTTGTCACAAAAATTTCCGAAATTCTTGTCACATGGAGGGATATAGAAGGATTAGAAGCGATCATGGGTATTGAAGATATGCAAGGATAACGGGGATCTTTGGGATAAAAGAGATTAGTTAATTTTTTCTGAGTAACATGGAGGGATATCGCGTGATAAAAGCGGATTAGTAGTAAAAGCTTAAAAGGTTTACATCCCTTGAAATTCCCTGACATATCAGATTTATGTTAAGAAAGATATAAGTATTCCTTCTTCTGGTTTCTGTTATAAACAAGATAAGAATAGATATCGGTAAATTCGAGATTTTACCCCTATATTCTCTATATCCCACACTATTCCTGTGGGATATTAATCACCCGGCTCTTCAAATCACTTTCTAATTTAATGATCATCTCACTGGCCATTAAAGTTTAACGCTAAAAATTATGTATATTGATTAACTTTATAATAAAAATTTTTTTATATTTTAAAATTTTTTAATTTTGCTTCTTGAAAAATTAGAAATCTTTTTCAGAAATTTTAGAAAATTTTTTCTAAAGTTTTAATTGAAAAATTTTCTTGTGGGTCTTTTGTCTGTGGGTATTCTGTCCTTGTGGGTATTCTGTCTGTGGGTCTTTTGTCTGTGGTTCTTCTGTCCTTGGGTCTTCTGTCTGTGGGTCTTCTGTCACTACGCCAAAAGGGCTCATCTTTCTAAAAAATTTATCGGTGTCGGCATTCAAGCTTAAATAACTAGCATACCAAAAATAGCCGTGACTATTACTTCTGGGCATGGCATCGACTAGCCAAAATTTTTGGTCTTCTTGACCCACAGCCGAGATGTTAAGATAGTCAAAGGCGGGGCTAGGGCTATACATAACCAGCAGTGAGAGAATGTTTTTATTTAACTTCTCAACCTCGATAAAAAACCTCTAATAAATAACTACTTACACTTATATTAAATTCCTTTAATTTTAACTGATACTGATCTTCTGGACATGGAAGCCCTTTAAAGAATGGCGTATATATGTAACCTGCCGTTGTAACTATTTTTAAATTTTTTAATTCATTCTGAATATTAGAAGGCTTTGAACAGTTTAACTCATCAAAACTTAATTGAACTTGGCCTTTTAAGGGACTTGTGTCAATATAAAATTGAAGAATCAAGCTATTACAATGAAGGAAATATAAAAATAGTTGAACAATAAGGGCAAAGATTTTCATTTTATTTTATTTAAAAAAATAAATTTAAATTTTTGTTTGTCGCTAGACTTTATTTAGCTTTTATAAGATAAATATTTGTCTAAAAGTACAATCTTTAAATCAAAAATAAAAGTGCAATGTCTATGAGAAAATAAAATTATGAAAGATGCACTTAAGTATATTCATGTGATTGTCAGATGTCAGACAAGCAACATTCTTGTTTTGAAATCAGTGTTGAAATTGAAGTTGTAAGCTAGTAATTTCTTCCAAAATGTTGATAAACGACCTGAGGTGTGTTCAAATACAAATACGAACGTGAGTAACAAACTATTCTTCATCACAAAGGAATTACAATAGATTAATAGTGACTATGCAATGGATATAGGGTGGAAGGACAAGGAGAAAGATTTCTCCTTTTTCAGCGCCTGCGGCGCTGAAAATTTTGAGAATTTTAAAGGTCAAAAAGCTAGATTTCTGCCATTTTTGTCAGAAAATTTGGAATAATATTATCGCGTCTTGTTGGAATCGTGCCTATCTTTACGAGTCATTTGTCGAAGGCAAAATGTTTAAAAATTTTCGAAGGCTAGATTTTCTAAGTAGAGCGAACCGGACCCCCAAAACTGCTCATCTGATTCAGCAGGCGGCCCAATCATCAATTTTGATGTCTAATAGAAAAATCTTGGGGGTAAATTTCGTGATTGATGTAGTAAATAAGCATGCTCGCTTTCTTCAGCGCCGCATGA